ATGGGTTAACGCTTTTTTACTGTAATGAGATCTATAATAAGATCATCATCACTTTTATCCTACAACATACCTTCAAAGTGACTATTTGTCAAAGATATTTTTTACGTACGTCAATATGACATCACTGATTTAAGTCAGTGTGTTGGTAAGGACCGACAAAAGCCCATCCTTTGTTGCTAAGGTCACTAAGGAAACCAAACGATACTAATTTGTAGTTTACTCTTTAGGTTTTTTGATTTGATTCAAGATCGTCTGACATTTTCGTTATTGTCCTTCACAATTCGAGCTGTTGGAGCACTTGGTGGTTCGGCCTGTGAGAYATCTATAGTTGTGATACTAACACAAGAATTTCCTGAAASTCTTGCCTTTGTTATCGTAAGTAATCGTGTAAATGTAGGGCTCGTAATTGAAGCATCTTCATATACCTCGATCACCTCCATCCTAAGAAGTTAAATTTCAATTGAGGCCAATTTATCYATTTATTATCTGTCAGTCATAAATCATTCAATCAAGAATCTACAAAATATCAACAACTTTGTAATCAACAAGCAGTGTTGCACATTTGCTATCGAGAAGGAGATTGGAAACAAAATAGCCAATACTGAAAAATATTGCTTTTTTTAGGGTTTGTTGGAGATTTTTGCTGGCTTGGGATTCGTCGTCGGTCCAGTTCTGGGTGGTGTCTTTTACTCCGTAAGTAGATGTGATAAAACACCAACTGCATCCTGGTATTTTATTGCTATAGGTATACAAAACTGTCCACTTCAATTTCTCGTAAGATTTCATAGCTTCAGTAGTTGGAATATGGCGCACCTGGCGCAAAAATAAAAAAGGCCTAAAAAAATAGATATTATAATAAAAATGGACAAACGAACAGTGAAAGAGTTGAAAGCCCTCGCCAAAGAACGCGGGATCAAAGGCTACTACAAATTACGTAAAGCCGAACTCATCGAAGTGCTAAATAATAGACCACCACCACCGCCGCCACCACCACCGCCACGTAATATTGTCTCTAACACACCCTCAAATATTCTTGATGAGCCGATACCTGATCCTAAGAAATGCCCGCATGGTAGAATTAAATATTATTGTAGAGATTGTCATGGGTCACAAATTTGCCCTCACGACCGCCATAAATCACGTTGCAAATTATGCAATGGTGGTAGCTTCTGCGAACATAAACGAGTGAGATATATCTGCAAAGACTGCAACGGGAAAGGAATATGTGAGCACAACAGACAGAAATTCTTTTGTAAGTTGTGTGGTGGCTCTCAAATTTGTGAACACAACAGACAAAAGTCTCAATGTAAAGCTTGTAACACAACACAAGAGACACGACAAGATTAATTTATTAAACACTAGGTTATGTAACACAAGTCAATGACTCATCTAGTTGGAATTGTTTTCCGGTCATGATACAGCCATCTGCTTTGGTAAAGAGTCGTTTCGGCTAATATCAAGCCTCATCAGAATACCTAGTTTCACAGGTATTGACGACTCCACTATGTAGAGTCTTTACAAAAAATTAGTTCAATCGTCTTTCAACGATTAGCCATAATGTCAGCCATTATGAGAGCATCGAGCTTTTGCAGGTCTTCATCACATTTAGCAACCATTTCATCTGCAGGTCTTGCCTTTGCCATCCAGTATTCAATCTTCGATTTGGCGTCTCTTAGTTGTCTCAGAGCTTTGTCTCGTTCTTCTGTCTTTCTCAGCCAAATCTTCCTAACGTCTTGCTTCGGAATGGTGTCTTTCATCGTAAGATTCGACAAAAAGTCGTTTAGATTTTCTCTTTTTCTTGGTGTTGGAAGTTGAAAACCATTTCTTTGCGAAATGTTTGTTAAATCGAAGGAATCATATTCGAGTTCTGCGTTGTCTTGCTCAAGCATAACTGTGAAGTGGAATATTACATGACGAACGCACGTATTAATACGCTGAAGCTAATTTGCATTGACGTCATTGCATTCCTGAGCGACGTTAGAAACAGGCCTCTAGAAAGTAAACATCAAATCTACTTTCAGACTTGCTGGTTGCTACGTCGCAAAAGTATGGTTGGTATGCAGTCTATTGTTTAGCACGTGAACAGTTATTGTTTTCTTGTAATACGTCACATCCGCCCACATGCATCCCACATGCTATCGAAATAGATACCAAGCTAAACCAGCCGCAGAGGCTGTTATCACGATAAGGTTAATGCCGTGACGATCTGTTGTCACACGCTGAGTCTTCACATCCGGTTTCGGTTTGAGAGTCGTGACTGGCTTGAGAGTCGTGACTGGCTTGATATGAGGTAACACAATCTTTGAATGACCCATATTATGTTTTGGAATCGTTTTTATCTCATTATTTATTGGATTTAGTCCCAATTTCATATCAGTTGTAGCTTTTTGTAATTTATTATTGTACCCGGCAATCGATGAAGTGTTTATTAAAAGATATGAAGGACTCAACCAACAACTGAGCGCTAGCGCCAAGTCGAGTTTTTGTTTTGCCTGCTGTAATGCGAATTGATATCGTTGAATAGATTTACTAATATCCTTCTCAACAACAGAAGATTCAAAAAGTTTCAAAAAGACTTGTTTCGTCTCTTCGTTGCCACCGCTGCTGCCGAGAATGCTATTTCGGGTTTGTGCTTGCGAGCCGATAATGCAATAGACGAAAGCTTCTATCGACTGATTAATTCGGCTTAGACCAGCTTTAGTAAGCCCCTGTGATTTCTCAGGAAAAAACCATTCATACTGATAAGCTGTTTTTGGGTCTCTAACATAAACTATTTCAAAATGATTTTGATGGTTGGATGATTCCCACTCATCAGGTAGTTGTAATTCGCTTTTATATGGAACGTAAGTCTCGTGTGGGTCGCTATTTAATCCGTGATAGTCGTAGGAATAAACAAGCCCAAGACCGTGTGAGTAATGGCTCATAAACCTTAAATCGCTGCCGGTACGAAACTCTGTTCTCAATTTCTGATAGGCCGACTTGCTGTAGAAGTTTTTATTCCAGCTAAACAACTTATCCTTCGGTAGCGGGCATTGTAATTCACTCAAAACACGCCTGATTGTGAATATGATATGAAATCTGTAGAATGACCCCACTTGAGAGTCATCAATCATGTCACGCGTCACACCACATCCTCCTGTAGCACACCAGACCGCGAAATTCAAAGCTTGTGACCAATATTCCAAATTTGGGGCGTCAAGCCATCTTTGAGCCTCCTTAGCTGTTCTGAAGATTAGCTCACTATCGGAGAATATATCCCTGAATGTAAAGTGTGTTTTCTGCTTTGGTGTAATGTAAACATCAAAAGCGTTATAGTTATTCTTTGCTGGCATATCAGTCCATGAGCGTTTTTTGTATTCCGCTTGTCTGCTGAACATATATTGTTTAGGAAACAGTTCAATTCCGGAGGTTGCTTCCTTGTAAGCCTGCGCATCATCCGTGAGCAGAAAATCCTGAATATTCTCAGGTTTCCAGCTATTACCAGGGAAGCGGTATAACGTTTTGACTAGATTCCCATTCTTGTCAAACGGGTCATATTCATCTCCATTGAAATTGAATTGCACATCACCGTGTTCGTCGGCGGAGAACCTAAAGCGCGAATAGTAAGGGTATCTTTTCACAAATTCTGTAAACTTCATCTTTATATGAAACATATAAAGATTTTTAAATCACTTTGAGATTTTAACATCCGATCGGATGTTAAAATCAGTTCTTTGCATATCTCAATTCATAGATAAATCCAAAGGGTGTTCTTTCAAACAGAAATTTTACTGAGCGGGTCGATTCGCCAGGTCTTTCAAAATCTCTTCTCTTACTGTTTCCCTCAGCTTGGTAATGTTGACATTTTTTTCATCCTCTTTTCTTGACTTTTGACGAATCTGGAGCTTTAGAGCCTCAAACTTATCCACCTCATTCAAGATCAAAGAAAACTCTTCATCTGATATTTTGTTGTCTTTCAGAGCTTTAGAAACCAAGTCACGTATGCTATTTACTTTTGCCCTTGCCACTGCCACCGTTTGATCGTGTTTAGAGACCTTTTGTGATAGTCTTTTAGAAACCGCAGCACAGCCTACAGACGTAAGGCCAAAAACACCGGCCAATGCACCTAACGGAACTCCTACTACAATACCCAAACCTGACAGAGAAGTTCCTAAACCACTAGACCCAAGAATGACGGATAGGACTCCCGTGCCCATGCTTAACTTTGAAAACGTGCTCTGTGTTCGTTTATACTTTTTTCTCACGTTCTCATAATGTTTGACTTCTTTTTCCAAACTTCCCAAGGCGTCATAGGTCTTTTGAAGCCTGAAGTTATCACCGCTTTGTGACACATTTGGGTAGAGTGAATTATAATCCTCCATATTTTTATTATGGAGAGAGGTTAATCTTTAAGTAATTTCTAAAATTAGACGTATCGGGTAGAGACCACTCTCTATTATATTTCCATCACCGTCCTTCATACTAAAACGAAGACTACTCACGTAATCAACTGATGTGGCACTAAGCTGTATCGGACTGTGTGGATCAAAGTTTATCTTTCCTTTATCAAGCTCTATACATGCTAAGATTTGTGAGGGAGCTCCTTGTTTGAGGACGCCAGATGCGCTCACAAGGTCGCAGTGGATAAAAATAGCCTCAAGACCTTTTATCTGTATCTCGTGTTGAGTTTTTGCTTTCAGCTTTTTGTTTTTGAACCCTAACAGGTTGGCAAACGATTCGTTCAGCGTGACGTTTTGACGAGCTTTGAGTGATGATTTTTCAATAGAGATTGACTTTTCACCAAGACGCAAACCCTCATCTATTTGACGTTTTAGCGTTTCAACCGTATACTGTCCCACAGGGATCCTAAGGATAATGTTTTCACCGTCAGAAACAGTTCCCTCACTTGAAAGATTATTCCAGCGATTATAAAACGTACAACCTCGCAACGTAATAAACCACGGCTTTTCAATGGGTTGTTCTAAATAGACTGTGAAGTCACCAACTTTACCTTCAATGTAGAGTAATACCATTTTATATATTACTTTCGTCTCCTTTTAAATTGTTCTACAAAATATAGGACTACAGCGACGATGAGAAGCCATGCGTTTTTGGCTAAAAAGCCGACAACTTC